GAGCCATTCCAGGGCTTGGCACCATTCAGCCTTTTTCATTCTTTCTATTACTTTATCAATTACTTCTTCAGCTCGGGTTTTGTATACTCAATTTTTAAGCATGGCTTTCACTGCTGCTTCATTCTTAGCATCTCTGATTGCTCTCCAAGTCCATTCTATGTCGAACAGCTTGAGCCAAATGTTAGAGCTCTCTACCTCTGTTCGGCTTATGGGTGTTTGAGTTTTTTTAGGTGATTCTTCGATGTGCAGTTTGTTCAAAGTCTGAGGTATATTTGAATGCACTGGTATAGTAGGCATAAGAGTAATTACAGAGATTTTATCAGTCCAACTAGCAGCTGGTAATCGCACACCATGAAAGTCTTTGGCTGGCACAGTGGAATCACTCACTGGTCAGCCTCCTCTTTTACCTCCTCTATCTTTGCTTCTTTGCTGAGTTCCTCATCTTCTTTTTGTAATTTGGCAATCTGCACCCTGATGTCTTTATGCATTCATTTCTTCTTTGGGCAGTCCTTTGCCATGTGATCTTTTTATCTGCAATTAAAGCATTTGCCTTCCTTCTTCATTCAATCTATGTCCATTGGTTTCCCAGATCTGGTGTACATCATGCCAGTCTCAGTCTTCTGTGTCCCATAGGTGGAGGCTGTTGAGGGTCCTGATGATTTTCCAACAGTTTGCCCTGACTTGTTCAAGGTTGGCAGTGTTGATTTTTTGGTATATTCTTGAAAATTAGATGACTCCACTTTCTGTCTTTGTTGCTCTTTGTACATTTCAATGATCCTTTCTTTCCACTCATCATATCTCACTGGCATCAATGCTTTGATGCTGATTGCTGAGATCATTGTGATATACAAAGAGGAGACCCCTCTCTTAAGGGCCTCAACTATCTGTTCATTATTTGCTATGTCATCCCAAATTCTGGTGAGTTTTGCAAGGTGTTCTAACTTATTAAAATAGTCTGTGGCTGCTTTATCTCTCATTTTATATTCCTTGATCTTCTACTTGTAAACTTCTTGCACCACAGGATCAATAAACTTGTTGTTCAGCATTTGTTTGAATACTGGCCATGAAGGATACCAATAATGTTCCTGAGTTGACAATCAGAAGTTCAGAGAGATTAGGATTCACCACATCTTTGCTTTTTTCTTAAGGTAGGAGACAGCAAATACAACTTTATTCATCTCAGAGCTGAGATACCCAATGTATACTTTGAAGTACTGTTTACAATCAATCAGGAATTGGTCAATATCATCTGAGGTGACCTTGAAGGGGTGAGATTTTCAGAGTAGGTCAGGTCAGCATTGTAAGATGGCAGCATTCTCTGATAGTGCACCCATTGGGTTTGGCCATTCTGAGAATGGAGGTCAATTCCATTCATGTGGAGGCCCAGAGAATGAGTGAAGTGAGTGATCATCAGTGACTAGACTCTCCTTTGGTGCAGCATCTTTTTAGATGATTACTCCATCTTGTATGATAAACCCAAGGCAGATGGCTTCAGGGTCATCTCATACTAGTTCCTTTCTGGCTCCACTAGTTTCTGCTTGGTCAGGAGGTGGCTGCCCTCCAAAAAGTTGGCTTCCTTTGCTGGTCTAAAGATTTTGGAATCCTTCATGCTGTAGTGCTGAAGAATTTAGCTGGTTTCAGGTTCTGGTGAATTGAGTTGCTGTACTTCGAACTAATGAGTTCAATGTTTTGGCATTACTGCAGATAGATGGTACTATGTATATAGCTCATTTTGGTGGGATGGGTGGGGAGCTTGGCATTGATTGCAGCTGGATCTTGGATTGATATGAGGGAATTAGCTTGAGCAGATTCTCTGGGTGCCACCAGTCATATTTCTTTCAGGCATATTCTGTTGCTGCATACTGTAAAATGTCTTTCTTTTCAGTACTATCCACATTTTTATACTTTAGTCCTAAAGGCATAGCCCTTCAGTGAGCATCCCACCATAGAAAGAGTGTCTCTTGCTCATATAGTTCTTGATATTCTTTTCCCCTCTCTTATTCTATTTCTGCTCTTAATGCTTCTTCATCAGTGTCTTTATTGGCATATTCCATAAATTGTTCAGGTCTGAAGGGGCTCTCACTGTCCTCTTTGTCCCTGCTGTCCTCTTCCTTGAGGAGGGAACCAACAGGCAGGTTGTAAATAGATGGGATGGCTGGCTTGAGCATTGCTGGAGAGCCTGTCATCAATCCTTGTGCTGGACCCAGCAGTGCTTGGATCAGGTCCAGAGGCCATTCGCTGGATGGAGGTATTGGGGAGGTGGCTGTACCATGTTCTCTCATGCACTTTTGTTTTCTCTAGTTCTCGGCTATAGAGACTAAAGTTTCATTGGAATCTAGGATCAAAGAACTGATGGGTGACTCTACTTTCTAGGAATCAGCTGAGGGCTTGATCAGAGATATGGGCATTGTCTGGTACTCTGAGCCTGTAGGCTCCGAGTACAGAGTCAGCATCAGAGGAGATGGTGTCTGTCCTGATGAGATATTAAAGAGAAGAGGGATGACTGACAACCCTGATAGTCTGTCCCCTTCAAATTGCTTCATCTCTGCTGATAATACTGGCTGGTCCTTCTCATGGGTCAGTTTCTGAGTTGGACTCCCTGAAGGGGGATCCCAAAGAGTCAGTATGGAGCCTATACCAGCCAGGAGAGGCTGATTCCAGTCTTTCAGCCTCTGCTTGTCATCACTCTTGTCTTTCTTGTCTGTCATACTCTGCTTCTTCATACTCTCACTGAGCCTCTGCTTGGACATAGTTGGTGAGCTCTTCTTAGGCTCACTGGATCTCTGCTTGGCAGGCCTGATTCTGCTGCTGCTGCTGCTGTACTGTGCTGTTGTAATCAAAGGGGACTCTGAGGTCCCACTCCAGAAAGACTCACCATATAATCCTATCTCATGCAATCCTATCCCTTGCACTAGCTGTCCCTTCTTCAGGCTGACTTCTGACATGAAGGTTGTTGCAGGAGTCCTCTGCCACAGCGATGGTGAGCTCTATATTCATGAAATCCTAGTGGGTACTTCTGCTATAGGGGTCATTGAGCTCCAGCCTGCTGATGGATGGGCTTAGCTCAGGGGTAGTATAGAGGGAACCATGAGAGGAGTTGGGGGTTGTCTAGAGTCTCAAAGCCATCTGAGTGGCATCAAGAGAGTCTCAAGCATGGTTTCCAATCTCTAGGGTGATTGGGGAGGTGGGAGGACTGAAGGTGGAGATTGAAGAGACATTACCAGGGATTTCTTCAGACTCCTGGTCAACATTTGTTATCTAAGGGTTTCAGAACTCTGTGATAGCAGGGTTGCAGTTTCTGCTGAGTCATCAAGAGGGGTATCAGGATCCCTCTTCTTTCTGAAGGCTCTCCAAAGGCAAGTTGCTAGGCCCAGCTTTGGATATGGGTCATCCTTGCAGCTAGAAGGACATTCTGATGGAGGCAGGGATGTCATAGAAAAGTAGATCTGGGGTTACATTTCAGAGAATGGTATATATCTGTTGAAATGCTTGATAGTGCCTGACTATCCAAGCAGTAACTGATTGTCATCTGCAGCAAAGGGTAATGATGGCTAGAAGCCCTAGTAGCATTCTAATAATGGAAGCTATCAATTCAAAGAAGTCATGATTGAGATCTGCAGTAGTTGCTGGTGGCATTTGGTTTCTCAGCACAATTGGGCTTGAGAAAAAGAAGGCAAAGCTTCAAGCTAATTGTTAAGCTCAAGCCACATGTGATCAACTAGCACATGATAAACTAACATGGCTTCATGTTCAAGCCTTCTGTTAGAGTCCACTTGATATACTGTTTGTTGATTCCCTGTGCTTCAAGACTTTGTGTGATTTACTCAAGAGTAGAATGAGGATGTATAAACTTTAGCTCAAAGCTGGGGATTACCAGCAAGAGTGAGCTCCTTAAATACTAAACAAGATTTACTAATAATACTTTCTACTTATTGTGTATCTCTCTGTCTCTGCACTCATTGTCCTGGAGCATTGTTATCATATATAAGAGGCTGGTTGTGTGTCATCAAGCAATGCTGTTGTGGTGAAAGACAATGACAGACTTGGCTAGTTGTGATGACTAAGCCTTGTCCTATGGTCTTAAGCACTTGTTCTGGTGCTCTGACTAAGCATAAATAGGGGTTAAACTCAGGAAAAAGGTGGAAAATCATAACAGAGAGTATGAGCATCTAAAATCACTATACACTCTATTGTGCACTCTGCTCATCATCTACCATATTGTGACTGTTACACAAGCAGGAGATGGGATAGAGAGTAGACTCAAAGCTTATCATCATATTATTGAGATTCTGGTTGAGTCATCAGCCATGTACTCAATATTCTTACTCTTATATATGGCCTCTTCTGCTCTTGACAACATAACAATATATTATTTTCTCATTATTGCATCTGACATGCATTATACAGGAAATTGCACTAACACTCATTGTTGGATGTGTTGCAGCAGATCATGCTCATCCAGAAGACATCTGAAAGGGAAGCATTGTGTTCTCACTTCACTTTAGAATGCATTCTGAAGATCAGATGCAAACAAGCTCTCAGCAAGATTCTCTAACAAGTGTCACTCTTGATAATGATCTAGAAACACAGCAGGAGCAAGATGATGAATGAATACAGCTATCATGTTCAGACAGGAGCTGAAGGAGAGGCTGTTGATGAGAGTGTCATATCTGAGGATATCCTCAAGGCTCAGAAAAATAAACTGAATGACAATACTATCACAAAGATCAGTGTACTCAGAGATAGATGATACTATTGGTCTAGACTTTATGTATATCCTTTTACCTGTATCCTAATATTTACTTTGCTTTCTTTATTAATGCATGTATCTCAGAGTTAGTATAGCAACTAGCTTTACTTGATATTTATTTTTCCCTCTGAAAGCATGACTAGAAGACTAGTAGCAGTGAATCTTTGCATAGTAAATCATTACATAGTATGATGCTTGTAGACAATGTATAGCTATATAAGGGCTCATTATCAATGATCAACTGCTTCTGTCACATTATGACACAAAAAGAGCTCTGTTGTCGGGCCGCATATTCCCTTGTTCTCAGAGCCTCTCGTATATGTTGCTGGTGTGCCTGATCCATACGCTGGCGCTGCTCCAGTTGTTGTTGCCGACGAACCTCCACTTCATGGAGGAACCATACTTGTTCGTCATAATCAACACCCCGGAAGGGGTCTAGAGGCACGTTATTATTTGCACCGGGAGTGGGATCGGCAGTATAGAACCCCCCGTGCTCGGTATTCATGTGCCCGTAGATCTCGTTCGGGGGGAAAATACCCATGCACCGCCAGCAAATGTGGGCTCCGCATCTGAAGCATGATCAGTCATTCATATTTTTTGGTGAGATGCTTAGAACACGAACCGGCACTGCATGTGATTACATCCTGCGATCTTTTCCAGTAAACGCGAGCACGATGGACATTTCTTGATTCCGCTCTGCTGCATAATCCAAGCCTCAGTTAACTTCTCTTGCTCAGCCGCACTATTAGAATTTCGGGCCTCTTCACAACTCTTTCCCACGTGCGAATCTTCGCCACAGGATGAGCATATTTCGGAGAAGCACGACGGACAGCGCAAAAGAGATGGAGATTCCGACTTGCGATAGATCTGCATACAATCTGGGGTCTTGCAATACCCAAACACCTGGGGATGTTTATCGACATATGATGTAAAGACCGTCTCGAGGAGATGTTCGAAAGAGCTCTGAGGCAAAAACTTCTGAAGAACAGGAATGGATATCGGAATGCCGCAGGTCGCATCATTGCCCATGCATACCAAAGGGAATATACCTGTCTCCGCTGCGGACGTCAAGAAATGTCGGATACACGCTGTACAATAGACATGCTGACAGACTGGCTGGAATGGTGCGGAGGCTTCATCATAGCAGACGGGACAGGTATGAGTTCCTGGTGCGACTTGGACAATAACCGTCTTTAGAGACTCGGCGATGTGGTTCTTCAGGTGGAGTCTGACTTCTTCACCACCTCGGATAGTGATTCTCGCTAAGCGGATGTCGAGGTCAACGCAGTCTTCTCCGAATACCTTCTTCATCTCACTGAGACCAGTGCGGAGGAAGTATCCCACCGATCGACGCTCGAGCTTCAGCGAAAATTGTAGCGACATAAGACGATCGAGCTCTTCTTTCAAGATCGTTTTGGCTTGCGTGATGGCTACCGAATTTCCGTATAATTTAATGGTACGCGCCCTGAAATCTGCCCGCATGAAAGCACCCGCATCTGCCATCCTCTTCTTCAGAGCAGCCGGTGGCCACACCAGATGCTCGTGCCATTGATCAAGCTTTTCACCAGCAGCAAGACTCTCGACACGTACTTTGAGAGCACCGACGGCAGCCCTGACAGCTCCTGATACTTGAATGCGAAAGTCCCCACGAGGCATCTGACGAATGAAGAGATCACATGCTTTGCGATCTTTGATACTCTCCTGTAATTCTGTCCAAAGGCTGACTTGGGCGTGATACTGATCTGGCGAGATGATGATGGTGTAAAGCTCCTGTGGTGGTAGTTTGAACCAGAACATGGAGTTACCAATGAAATCAAAACGTCGATTGGCTAGGACGTTTTGAGCCTTTTTGGCGCTATCCCGGCTGTCGAAACGAACACGTGCGGAGAATATTCCGGCTCCGGTGTCGCCTCGGGAGGTTACATCAAATGCCTGAACCTCAACGCCACCGACCTCTTCAATATGCCGTTGTAGCTGACGAGAGGCGGCATCAACGTTGAAACTGTGAGACTTGAGAAGCCTGACATCCTCACAATTGGACTGGGCGAAAACGCATACTGAGGCCAAAGGAATATCAGGGACATTAGAGATCTTGATTGTATTCGGTCGGAAATTGTGACGACCAGGAGGTGGTTGGTTCATCTCAACCTTCATCCTTCTGCCGGAACAAATGCGACCATTCAATTCTGTCACCTTTGAATGACAAGTTGCCATGTCAGGATACTCGACGATGAAGGTCCTAGACGGGGCTCGGCATGAGATGGTGAGGACGTTCTCATCTCGAGGCGTCAACACACCCATACCACCAGGCTGATTGAATGTGCCAATTTCAAATTCCAGCCATTCGTTTCTGAATTCCATTCCTTCAAGACTTGCGGCTAACCTCTGCGCGACAGTAACAGTGGTAACGATATCGACATCCTGCTTACCGTTACCGGTACTGTTCACGGACACGACATGGAATTCGGACATATCGAGGCCTTGTTGTATGAAGAGATCCTGGATTTCGTTCGGGCGGGTATCGCGAGGAATATTCTTGACCCGAATTCTGCAAGAGTCGAAGCCGGCGATTATATTCTGTATGGCAAGGCCGGAGCTGAAGGTAACGATGGACCCAAAGACGATGCATTGATGGGTCCGCTGGGCATCTGCTGTGCGCTGCTCTTCATCGATTCGACGCTGTACTTCTTCCTGACGGACCCGGGCTTCCTCTTGTCTGCGCCGCTCTTCGTCTCTCTTCCTCTGGGTTTCCTCCTGACGCAGGCGACCATTTTCTTTCCTAGCTTCTTCGGCTTTCGCTAACTTTGCGTGGTGTTCTTTATCAACGTGACGCTGTCTTGAACTCGGGGTCTGTTTTGAGTGTTAGTTGGTTAGGCTACGATTTTAAAGGAAAGGTCTCACGTTAGCATCGTGAAGAAACCGGCATTCCTCCCCTCTGGTGCAAGTTCCCTTCATCCACGCATAGCACTGATTATTGTTTACTTTTGGAACTGGCAAAATTGAGGACGACGGTACGCAATTTTCTTGTTCCAGCGTCTGATTCTCTCCATCAACAGATTCGTCTCGAATCTGCAAATCGTTAGTCAGTATGGAAACGCGAATGAGAATAAAAAGATAACACGCTTTTGGAACATGGTCAAATCTGCATGCCTCTCCTTTCGCGCAGCTTCCCTTTTGCCACGAGAAACATACACGGCTCTTTGATTTGTCATTGTCTCGGTGATAAAGAGCGGCTTGAGACAAGACCGTCTTAGCTTGACCACTGACAACATCGTTGGCTGTAGTTGCGTGACGACGTTCAGCTGTATCTGACCGTCCTTTCTTGCGAGTTTGAGCCCGGTTCATATTCAGAATCTGCCCTTGATTGTTGTTCGTCTCCTGCCCAGTTAAGGCGGTAATATTATTGTTAAGGAGTGAGACGTACAGAGACAAGGTTCAAGTGTTGATTCCTGCATTGAGAGCTATATTTGCAGCTGCCTTGTTGATAGAAACGGCAGATGGGAGCATTGGGACTCGTGGTCGACATGAGTTTTCGGAGCAAGGAGGAGAATCACTTCGATCATAGTAGGGCTAACTGCTGTCTCAAGATCGATGACCCGGGTGTGCACGAGTAGACAATGCCTGATTCATGTGACTTGAATGGGAATCCAATCGGACCGAGCTACCGACGCCCTAGACTTAGCTTGGAGAGCGATAGTATCTCTCCCCAAGTATCATTCGACGATAAAATCCATCACGCTTAGATATTGATGTTCAGTTAACATCTTGCCTTAAAGATTGATGGAAAGGAATGCACTTTGTTCTCGTCCATGTATGCAGATGTACAGAGACGTAGAAGCTGAGGCTCTATGTAGCTCTACAGGCAGTTTCAATAAATATTGGATTCATTATTGCTTAAAATTCACCTAGTGTGGTTCTGAGGATGCCGAGCATTTTAGCGCGAAGGTTGCAAAACATAAAAGGGTATGCTCCGGGTTGTGATCTCGCTAGTGAATTTCCACGACAGTTTTGTTCCACTGCGATGGGTGAGATTCTTGCATGCGTTGGGACTGTATTTTATAGAGGTTAATATCAGAGTATATAGAAATATTCTGTGACTGGGCTGCCACCTCTGCGCATGAAAAGGTTTCCTAGGAACCTCCGACCGTTCCATACGCTCATGCCGGAAAGAAGTTGGCGAAAACCACCGGCATCTGGACAGCCAAGACAGTCCGATTTTGCTCGGCTACAAGTTGCACAGAGATTCTTGCTCGAATTATTATATGCCGTTGGCTCGAAAATGAGAAATTGACGGCTCTGATAATGTCTGAACCCCCTAAGACAGCCAAACAAAACCGAGACCAAAGTTGATGTCGAGACCTATCCCAATTTGAACAAGGCGCAACAAAATATTGAATTATATAATTATCATCTTCGACCCTTCCACCAACAGCGATCATCAACAAAGCCATGTTATGAATGAGGACGATTTGGATAACTATGAAGGACATCTGGCCGTTGCTGAAGGACACACCTATGAATTGCATTTCTGAGGCCGTATCAATCTGTTCTTGTGATGCAGCTGACCGGCCATGAGGACTCGCATGTCCACACTATGCACAGGTGAGCACAAGAAATCCTAGAGATGAAGAAACATACCAGTCACTGAGCCAGGAGCTGAGAGGGGGGGCAACGGGGACAGGATCAACGTCATCCATGGTGAAGATATTGAACCTGACAGAAGGTGTGCTGAATCCTATTAAGCTTTCGATAGGCTAGCCGAATCAACTGTTTGTTTGATCTGACAATTGGGGACGGGAAATCTTGAGGGGACGACCATTCCGCATGTCCGTCCAGATTCCATAGCGAGCTTTCCCAACAAGTTATGCCGCGTGATGGACGATTTTTCCATCTGCATTTCGCGAACAAAACAAGAGAGTTGCCTGATTAGAGCGGACAACAGATCAAACATTCGACTTTTAGCATGCTCTCCAGATTGACGGTGATATAACGCATCAACCAAATCATTCACAGAGCAGTGGGTAGCCTCGGAAGGTATATAACATACAGTTCGGATGCTCAAGAAGTTCAACTGATGAAATGAGCACGGACCGATGTAACCCAGCCTGAACGACTAGAGTCAAAGCTGAGACGTGCATCTATTGTACACATCCAGAAACTTTCTAATCCTAGTCATCATGCTCAAAATCTTCCTCGTAACGTCCCAAGAGCAAGGTACCGGGCCACATACAACAGTATAACAGCAAGCATGATCACGCTCCCTATCACAATCATCGTTAGTACCAAATTTTACTCGTTCTGATCATTACCATACCTGCATAATACCCCACAGCCTCAAAACCCTTCGTTGACGCATTGATGGCCCCAGAAATGGGCGGACCCGCAACTGCACCAAGAGCCGCTATCGAGAACGCCGTCCCTGTCCTCCTCCCTACGTCACTGATATCTCCAAAGCCATAGATCGGATCGACCGCCGAGGTGACATGGGCCCCGCTTGTGAACCTACCCTTCCGTTAGTATCACAAACCACTGGGAGGGAGGAGACGTACCCGTAAATTACCGCAACGACAATCATTGAAGCCAGACTCCGCGCGAATGGCCAAGCATAGGTGACGGCACCGGCTATAATCGTCATGGGGCCAAAGTAGTTCAACGCGCCTATAACCAGGTTAGATACTAGTAAAAATTGAACGCTGGAAGGGCCAAGATACCGTATCGATCCACACATATTCCCGAAACAAGTCGCCCGACTCCCGAGCTGGCATTGGCAATAGACACAAGGTAAAAGGCCACATCTGTCGAAACACCGTAGGCGGTGGCGCTAACGCTGATATAGATCAGAACTATTTGGCATAAGCAAGACATTGAGAAAGGCGGTATCCTCGAAATTAAGTGCTCGCACCTGTATACAGCCCCAGCATTGCAATGAAACCAGACACACACCAAATAGTATATGGCATGCTCCTGAAAGCTTTTAGATTGAGCATTCCTCCGGATGCATTCACGGGTGGAAGTCGACGCTTCATTGTCAAGTTGGCGATGCCCAGGCCAAGTATGAGGATGCATCCTATGATTCTCATTGTCCATGGAAATCTGCTGGATATCATATCATACTGGGATGGCTATACAGAACAGATACATACCCGACAACGTCAATAAGCTCATGGGCGATTACCGGGAACACCGTACCACCAACCGATGCGCCAGTAGACATAAGCCCTACGGCAATACCTCTGCGGCGTCGAAACCAATGTCCTACAATCCCCATGCTCGGACCAAATACCATCCCGCAAGAAAGCTGGGGACCAATTTCAGACGAAGGAAGGGACGGTGGGGACAGGACGAACCCCAATGACAAAGCCCTGGCAGAAAAGAAAATGCCAGTATTGAGAGCACTCAGAGATGAGAAACGTTGCCAGAACAAGCAAAATACTTGCTGATAGTAGTGGTGTTTTGAAATATCCAATATCGAACATGCGGCCGGTAACTACACTCGGCATGAAGACGAGGGCGTACTAAGTGTATCAGTAATAGACCCAGAAGATCGAGGTGAAATTACCTGAACAGAGCCAATCCATGCGCTAACACGATGAATGACAAATGTGTATGAATACGGAAAATGAAAGATTCACATATTGGAAGAATCAGAGTCCTCCAGTAAGTTTTCTTCATAGTAGGCTTGGAATACCTGTTTGCAATCGTATGAGAATTCGACAAGATGCTACGAAGCGAACTCACTCCCCAAGCGTTCACAAACCCAAACCTAATATTAATATAAATGTCCTATTGCAGCTATGACTTCAATCACTGCTGACACTGACGTGGAAAATGAAATGCACATTATCTGAAGACGATGAATTATTATAAGGATTAATTAAGTCGAGGCCGAGCTTCACTCACCCCTCCAAGAACCAACCAAGCCCTTAATCCACCATCAGGATAATCTTCCTCCGAGCCTGTCAACGATTTGATGGATCCACTGTCATTTTCTGGCTTGTTCTGACCATTCAGAGCTTCATCTAAAGTCTTTTCATCGGAAATTTCATCAGCTGACCGCGTTGGAACGTGAGGCAAATAGTGAGGCATGGTTATTGGAGAAGCGGTACCGTCTAAGTTTTATACGGTGCCATCCTGTCGCGATGAGTTCATAGTTGCACTAGTCCGCCTAATAACAGCGCAGATCCATCGATCAGGGGCCTTTCATTGAAGGCAGCAGTCGATTGGTGGGGAAGGCGGGGCCCATTAGAGTCGGATCCGGCAGAAGCACGCATACATACAAGTAATAGGTATCTGCCGCGGTTGCCCGCCGCATTCTGAACGCAAAGATTGATGGAGACGGCGATAAAGTAGTCGAAACGCCTTCGTTTCGTTAGGCTTTCACCTATCGGAGCGCGGAAGCCCCGAGAGTGGTGAGAACCTGTGTATTCTGTTTAGCTGACAGCTCGAAAAATTTGACGCTACACTCGTCATGAAGAGAAATATAGAAGCCACTAAGAAACTCGGGCTAGAACAGCGGAGAACAAGTACGAGGAGCAGACAAAGAATAGCTGAGCCTTCATCAATAATGGCCACGTCGATAATGGGGGCAACGAGTCGTGCTTCGATTGCGTGTGGCATAGACGCCGCGTCACATCGAATCCGAAGTGAATAGCTAGGTAAATGGAACGCGGCAACTCACCGCTCCGTCTCAGCAACCTCTCCAATGTACCGTACCACCTAGTACACAGTACTCAAACCCAACAGGTGGAGGTATTCACCTCAGACCGATGCCAGGTTGTCCAAGACGAGGTCCAACGTCTTCTCGACCCGCTGCAAGGCTTCCATACGTTCTTGACGAGCCAGTACGTCAATGACGCGCAACACGCCTAGATGCGAATTCTGGGAATGAATCTAGACTGATAGACAATAGGATGTGCGCTGGCCGCTGTTGTTATCCGAAGAAGCCGCGGTTTGCAATGGTCGGTGTTGGTGGGAAGAGAGCAAGCAGTCCGGAGCTGCATACCGTAACGATAACGTCAACGTCATCGACGAGTAAAGAAACGGCCCGGTTTGTTTTTCTTCATGCTCTCAGGGGTGATCCACTGCTTCAACTTGTATCCTCCAGTTGAGTTGTTAAAATGAGCGGTAATTCTCCAGCGCTCACCCGGATTTCAGCAGGGAAGCGAGGGTCATCATTGTTCCGTGTACATAATAGAAGCAATACAAGAAACTTGAAGCCGAGAAGGGAGGACAATGCTCCCCTGCCTGACAACCGAAGATCCCGACATCGACTGTGTTGGATGCACGATACTTGAAAAAGATATTACAACATGAGTGTGTTGGTCATTTTATTTCTTTACGATTCATTATAATATTTCTATTCAAGCGATTCCATGATCTCTAGGGCATTTGGACTGAGTTGTCGCGTGCTACCTGGTTGCACATTACCGAAAGGCGATACCATCTACACGCTAGAATCTTGTGGAAATGGAGTAGTTATACACCGGCTGAGTCAATCACACTGACACTAGGTATACGACGAAGATTCCTCCACTGGGACAACTAGTCGTAATAGTGTCTTTTGCAGTCGGATTTCATTTTCTGCTCGACATCTTCTAGCGTGCTTCTTCTCCGGTATTCATCCACCGATGGGAATTCCGAGGAATATGTAAAGTATGTGAACCGCGGGTGAATCTTATATCATAGATGCAGGTTCCTGTTTACCTTGAACTTTTGGTGTCCAACATAATTCCTGGCAATTTTACCAGCAACGAGAAATTTAAACGCGGATAACCTCCCTGAAAAATACTGTCCGGACAAGCCTGGGTATAAATGGATCGATCACGCAGGTCGAGTTTACTCTACAAAGGCCAAATATCAGATGGTTATTCAAAGTACCTCGCCTCTCTCAACCCAGAGGAAGACTGGGAAGAGATGGTGAAAAGTTTCATAAGCTGCAACTCGAAAGAATTCATCACCAACATCATGTACTCTGCTACCTTGGTCGTCGTCAACATGAATCTTGTTGGCCTCGGCACCACCGTCCACAGAGGCGACTTCTTCCTCCCCCTCTTCGAATTTAGACCTACCAGCGCATCCAACATCGTCTCAACGCTCCTCACATGCGTCTCGCCAAACAGCTCCCGAGTGGCTGGAATCATTTCGAAGACTCCTTGCACTGCGCCTGGTAGGCCTTCCAGAGTTGCCTCCTCACATGCAGCACGCGATGCACCTCTTTTTCCAAGTACCTTTATGGGGTATTCCTCATGGAGAGCGGCTTTGCACCTCCTGATGACTTCCCCCCCCCGATTTTGATGCCTGCGTCAAGTTTAGCCGTTGCGTTTCACTGGGCTCGCAGTGTTTTGTTTGCCGCTGGCCGATGAGACGGTCGAGGAGTTTGGGCTGGGACAGAGGAACGAGCTTCTGATTTTGTTGGGCTATGTGGGTTGTTGCCTGATCCAAAGATTGGCGAGTATGAGACAAATAGGATGAGGAGGGTGGAGTTACCGTTGGCGCAGTTGGCATGGAAGAACTATCTCATGTTGGTGTCTTGGCATTCCTGGTGGATACCACTATGACTACTGCTTTGCGAACATGTAGTGAGGTCAGTTCCGGAATTGGGCCTGCCAACTTTAGTAACAGGTTTGCTACTCTGAGCCTTTGGCTGAATAATACGTATCTTGTGTTCACGAACTTGGTATTCTACCAGACATTGCATATTCGAATATACCTTATCCAGTGAATAACCCTGCATGACTGTTCGGCGAAAATTTCCCCATATGAAGTGCAGGGCGCCGCTGTTGAGATTGTATAAAATGATTCTTTGCGGTGTCATCGGGTTAAACTACTCCATCGACCCACTATTACCCTTGAACCATCTTCTATTCTCGGGGTAATGTCCGTCTTCAGTTCATGGGTGGTAAGAGTTGCCCCATCTTGAGATTTTTGAGCCCTCGGGTACATCCAAATTCCAATTGCGTTGACTGCGGCTTGGTTTCCTCCTGTCAAAAAACTTTCATTCCCGAAGTACAGAAGACATACACGTGGTAATTTTTTTCTACTTGGAGAGAAGCACGAGCAGATGCAGACATTTTGTATCTGTAGAATTTGGCTGCAGCCACCGATTCAAGAAATTGTCTGAATTTTTTCGGCATTACTGTGGGTCAAGAGTGGGTCCTTGTTGTTCCTCCCACAGGGTCAATGTGGGTCGATCGATCACCATTAGTAATCACGTAAGCGCCCCTTTTATGCGGCATGGTGGACCGGGCGGGGCTTACCGCTGAAACTACTTAAACGTACCCATCATGTGCAAATATTCACTTCTCTCGAACAACCATGTCTTCTCCAGAACAGAGACGGTTGTATGTTCCCAGAGAAGAAATGTCTGTCCTACGCGCTGTCTTGATTGTAGCTTCTTGTACTCTCGCCATGATGGTCAACGTACGTTCCTTCCTAATTACTCAACTGTATCGGTGCTTACTCATGGCCCTAGAATGTCAATCAGACTTCCGTCTCTATTGCTCTTCCAACCATGGCAGTTGAGTTCGGTGTTACTGAATCAGACTTAACATGGGTCGTGTCAGCATATCCACTGAGCGCGGTAAGTCGCACTTTTAGCGGCCATTTATACACTGCTGAGCATTTAGGGTTGTCTTCTTCTTATGTTCGGTCGAGTTGCAGATCTCTATGGGCGCAAAAGAGTTTACTCCTTCGGTGCTTTGTGGTTAGCTGTATTTACCTTGGGAGCTTCTTTTGCCAACAGTATGTGAGACTCGTGGCACCAGCGAGCGCTTTGTTGACCCAACATCTTTAGATGCAATGACTTTAGATATCTTGAGAGGCATACAAGGCGTTGGAGCAGCAGCGACAATACCAGCTTCTGTACGCGTCTCTTTGAACCTCATATTGAAGTTGTCGTTTATTCGTTTACAGCTCGGAATTTTGGCTCATTCCTTTCCTCCATCTCGTGCTCGCACAATCGCATTTGCTACATTTGCCGCTGGCGCGCCCATCGGTGGAGCCCTTGGTACAGTCGTCGGCGGTGTAATGGTACAATTGACCAAGTGAGCACAGTATGATGTTACTCGTGGTATCTTGCTGACATCTGCTTCTAGGAAAACCTGGCGATCTCTATTTTATCTCAATACGGTAAGGAAGGCATTTTTATTTGGAGCGTATCATTGCCTCACCTTTTCCAGGGTCTTACAGTTGCTTCCTTGGCTATGGGTCTGTATGCTATCGACAAAGATCTGCCTTCGGTGGAGACAGATCAACGTATTGACCTAGCCGGCACCTTCCTGGCGACCGCAGGGCTCGTCCTCATCGTCTTTGTTCTAACCCAAGGAGAACTTGCACCGCAGCAGTGGAAGACACCATGTACGTTCTTTACACCACCATCCGTCCACTAGAACTAACACCGCCTCAAGATATAATAGCGCTACTCATCACTGGTGTTATTTTCATAGTGCTCTTTCTTTTCTGGCAGCACTACCTAGAACGCCAGATGGATTCTGCTCGCCCTCAGTCGAAATGGAAACCTCCACCACTCATGCGGCTATCTCTTTGGACAAGAGCAAACGGACGAGTCGCTGTAGTGATGACTATCGCTTTTCTCAACTGGTGCTGCTTCCAGGGATGGTGTTATTGGTCTCAGGTATGGCTCGTGCTTTCATCGAATGAACCAATCCTTATTTAATTCGTCTAGCTTTATTACCAGAACTATCAAGGGCTTACCCCAATCCTCACTGTTGTTCGTCTGGTGCCGATGTTCATCTCTGGTGTAATCTGCAACACCATAGTGGCCTTTGTGGCAGGTCGCGTGCCTTTCATATATTTCATGGGTGCGTAGTCTTCTTCTGTGCTTTGGCTATGGTACTCATATACCTTAGTATCTGGGACAGCACTCACGAGCACCGCTAGTCTTCTCTTCGCGCTGATCAACCCCTCTGCCACGTACTGGGCTTTCGGCTTCCCCGCGTCTGTACTCTCCGTCATCGGAGCTGATTTTGTATTCGCTGCTGGTACGCTTTTCATTGCAAAAGCGTCTCTGCACCACGAGCAGAGTGTCGCAGGCGCAGTTTTTCAGACTATGACTCAGGTAAGTTGTGCTTCGGCGTGAGCGTCGCGACAAAATTGTTGACATCGCTTCTCAGCTTGGCACTTCCTTTGGAGTGACAATATCCACCGTCGTTTATGATAGAGTTCTAAGTGCACGGGCGTCAGACTACGGAACCGATTCTTTAAATGCGCCCAAACCTGCACAACTGGATGCTTATCAGTCCGCGGCATGGTCAGATTTTGCATTCGGGATATTTGGTAAATGCTTGCATATATCTCCTGCCTTGTATGGATTTTGACTTGCATTCCTTTCTAGCGGCGTTGTTAGCATTCATATTCTTCCAAGGCGCTGGTGTGATAAAGGAAGGAGATGATGACGCTGAAACTCTTGCTGCCGAGGATGACGTTCCAGCCGAGAAAACCGAGAAACCAGCTAAAGTGCTGCCTGCGTAATCCAGAAACGCTTGTAGGAGCGAGTGGAAATATAGTATAATATAGGTCTTGACTAATTAAATATAGATGGATAGACAGATAGAGGCCCCAATATAGAACGTCAATAGGTAGCAGTCAACTGATGTATTATTTCTTCTCAACGATGATAGGATCACTTTCATTCCTTTCGCCAGCTCTGTCCCATCTCTGGAACTCGAGGACATTCCGTTCCCTTCGTGGGACAGGCTACGACAATACGTCAATGCTTTTCCTTCTCTTCAACACATCAAAACCATGATCTCCAATGTGGAAATAAAGATTCAAGACACTGGCACGGTCGAGTATTCATTGCCCGGCGTAGGCACGCTCAGGTTTTCCCGATTCATGAAATTCGGGGCGTGCTACTGGCATCTCTGAAAATGCTCCAAGAATTATATCTTGACCCCAGAGATTCCTCATCAACAATTGCATCTAGGATCTCGGGTGGCAATTTACGCTGATTCGGGTCATGATGATCCGACATTCTAAAAATATTTTAGGTCAGCACGCGGATCGGAGAAAACCGACGTACGCAGAATGATTGGGGAGGGCTGGGCTTCTTCCAAGGGCGAGTCTAAGAAAGTGACGCGTGTTTGTAGCACCTAATAGATTATGCTGTTAGCTATAACATAGACCTCACACAGTGTAGCGATAAGCAGAAACACAGTGTTGTATTCACTGTACCTAATAGATTATGCTGTTAGCTATAACGTAGACTACAGAATACCAATCAGTGACATAAACGAAGTAATATAAGTAGATACTCACCCTCACACAGTGTAGCGATAAGCAGAAACATGGTGAGGGTGCTTGACAGACCATATTCAATATATATAGTCCATCCCAACATAAAGGGGTATCGAGCTTGGCCGGCAGGATACGACGGAGCTCCTGCTTGCTAATCCAACACTCTCTCTCAAGCAGAGCGAAGTCCAAGCTCAGTAGCAAAGTGCTTCACCTTGGCTGAAGGTAAAGGCTTGGTGAGAGCATCAGCAACCATGTCCTCAGTGGGACAGTAAACAAGATGAAGGGAGCCTTCACTGATGACCCAGCAAATGAAGTGGAAGCGAATGTCGATATGCTTGGTTCGGACATGATACTGATGATCTTTTGAGAGCACAATAGCAGACTGATTGTCTGAGAATAAAGTTGTAGCCTTAGTAGTCGGTGAGAAAACCTGAGAGAGCAGACTGTGAAGCCAGAGTGCCTCCTTTGATGCATGAGTTGCAGCCATGTATTCAGACTCGGTGGTTGAAAGCAAGACAATCTCCTGCTTTTTAGATGACCATGAAACAGCTCCACCATTCAGCATGAAAGTGTACCCAGTAATGGCATACCTATCCTCTGCCATGCTCTCATCAGCATCCACATAACTATGCAAAACCTTTCTGTTTCCTCCAAACGTCAGCCAGTAATCCCTCGTGCCCTTCAGGTAGTGAAAGATGTGCTTTACAGCCTTCCAATGAGCCTCTGCAGCAGCCGTTGAATATTTCGAGACTGTTGTCGTGGCAAATGTGATATCAGGGCATGTCCCGAGCATAACCCAGATCAAGGAGCCAACAGACTCCCTGTAAGGGATATCTCTCATGGCTGCAATTTCTCGGGTGGAGGCTAGTGCAGGAAAGGAAGACAAATGGAGATTAATATTCATTAGTGTAGAGACTGGTTTGAGGTCTTCAAAGCCATAGTGATGAACAATGGCATCGATGTACGAGCATTGGGAAAGAAAAATGGAGTGTGACTCACAGTCACACATGATCTTGATGCCGAGAATCCAGTGCAGCTCCCCCAAATCTGTGACTTCCACATATTTTGCCATACCTTCCTTTATCTCTCGCACTAGATGCAATGATGATGCTGCGATGGTGCAGTCGTCAATATGGACAGCAATGATAGTCAAGTTTCAGCCCTCCTGCTTGTAAAACATGGCTTGATCAACATCGCACTGCTTGAATCCCAGCTGCACCACCAAAATCTCAACAAGACATTGATACCAGCGACAACCACTCTGCTTCAAACTATACAGAGTCTTTATGAGATGGCAGACTTGACCAGGATAGGAGCCAGGCTCAGGATAGCCAGAAGGTTGATGCATATAAATGATTTCTTCGTTGGTGAGCTTTCCATTCAAGTATGTGCCCTTGATATCAACTTGATAGAGCTCTAGGTCGAGTGCCGCAGCCATAGCAAGGATTGAACGGATAGATGCAAGCCTTGCAACAGGGGCATAAATGTCGAAGTAGTCGACACCAGGTACTTGTGAGAACTCTTGTGCTACCAAGCGAGTCTTGAACTTGACTATGCCTCCCTCAGCATTCTTCTTGATTTGAAAGACCCACTTCGAGCCCATGACATTTGCTTCAACTGGTTTTTCGACAATTTTCCAAGTCTCTGCAGTCTTCAATGTCGCAAGCTCTTCTTATATTGCACCTTCCCACAAAGGCCAATCAGGCTGATGCTTTGCTTCAGCTAGACTGCATGGCTCTAAGGCTTCTGCATCGGCTGTTGAAATGGCCATGGCATACTCCTCAAGGAAGTCAGCATCCTCGAGTATCATCAACCAATCTGCCTCTCCTTCTCCCTCAAACTCGAGAGGTTCATTGTTTTCATTGGCAACTGGTAACTGAACACCAACAGGTACCATAGGATCACTTGGGCGTGCCGATATACTGCCTTTGCCAGAGATGAGGTCCAGCACCCGCTGGCTAGGCTTTCGAGTGCATCCAGAACGGGTTTCTTCAACTATGGGTTGGACTGTAGGCTGGGCTTCGAGGGTAGATGACACCTGTGATGGCTTTGCAGTAGGTGGATTGGGCTGAGTTTTTGGCATTGACAGAATCTTATGTAGTTCAATGTCTTCCTCCTCTTCAAGATCGTCAGTGGCAATACAAGTTGTGTCGAAATAGACATTTCACTCGATGGACACCATCTTGCTCTCTGTCCAGTAGACACGAGATCCATTACTTATTTTGTCGAATCCAATCCACTGACCTTTACATACATGGCCACCCAGCTTCATAGCCTTAGTCTCAAGACGTACTCAGCATTTCTCTCCCCATTCCCGCAACCTTTTTAGATCTGGCTTCTTCCCTGTGACAGCTTCATAAGGAGTCATTCCATCTAGAGCCTTTGTCGATGTTCTGTTGAGGACCCAGACAGCATGGCGAACAGCCTCAGCCCATAGGAAGTGAGGTAAGCTGCTTGAATGTAGCATAGCCCTGACTTTTTCGATAACTGTGCGATTATACTTTTCAGCCACCCCATTGTGCTGTGGCGTATCATGCACAGTCATCTTCGTTGCTGTGCCGGCATTTTTCAGATGCAAGACAAACGCTTTGTTGAAGTATTCACCTCCATGGTCTGAATGGAGGATTTTTACAGGGTGATCATGCTGAGTGCAGATGCGAGCTTCATAGGCTTTGTATGCTGTGAAAGCTTCACTCTTCTGGCATAAGAATTCAAGGTAAGCCCAATGAGTGCTGTCATCAATGAAAGAGATGAAGTAACGGCATTTATGCAGGGATTCTACAGGTGCAGGTCCCCATAAATCAGAGTGAATTTCATCTCCAATATCAGTTGCACGTTCTCCCCCTCGAGCCTTAGACACTGGCTTTCGTGTAGCTTTAGCATAGACACATGACTCGCAGAACTGTGGTTCTTCAGATGACTTGTCGAGCTTTATTCTGGTCATGAAGCCTTTTTCAACTAGACGGCAAGCAACTTCAGGTGAAATGTGGCCTATATGGCAGTGCAATTGGTCTAGAGTAAGCATCTCCTCAGCTGTCCCAGCCAAATCTCCCTCATGACGAATCCGATATAGGCCACCATCATCTTTTGGGACAACCCCAACAACCTTTCCATCTAGTGCATGGATGGTGCATTTTCCACCACCGAAAGTCAACTTGAAACCAAGATCGTCAAGTCGGCCAACTGAAATGAGTGTATAGCCAACTTCAGGAGAGTACATGACCTTGGTGAGTTGCAGATTGCTTGCATTTGCACCATTTGGCATATCAATACTCATCATGCCCTTTCCAGCTGCAGAAAATTTTTGAGTGTTTACAGCATAGAATACCTTGGGTGGGACAGACTGGAACGAGTTGAAATCATCGCAGTAAGGGGAAATATGGTGTGTACAGCTGGAGTCGTAGAGTTCAGTATGAATTTGAACATCGGGTGAGTTTACAGTGTTGGTAACAGCTGCGACTGACTCTTCAGAAGCAGATACATTCTCCAAAGTCGGTATACCAGATGTGGCATCCGATTGCTTATCAACAAAGGAGTTCACATCACTCCAGTCAACATCTGAGGACAATGCGCTGCTCAGCTCATCCCACGACTCATCACCAACCTCCGAAAAAAAGTCAGTACCATCGTCTTCATCCTCCGAGTCTTCTGATAAGCCCTCAACTTCAGACTCGTCTGACTCAGAAACTGCAGCCAGCGACGGCATGTCGCTAGCATCATCAACTCTGAATGCACTGCTGACTTCCCAGTCTGAATCCGATGATTTCTCAGCCACATTGGCTATTTCACTCTTCGATCCAGAGGCCTTGCTGTCATTGTCTGATGACTTCTTCTCAGAGCATTTGTTTTTGAAGTGTCCTTCTTTCCCACATCTCCAGCATAATTTCTTGCTGGGTTTCTTGCCCTTCTTATTGCCACCTGAGCTTGATGAAACAGATATGGCTTCATCTTGTTCCGAGTCCTTTCCCTTTCCAGACTGCCAACTATGCTTGGCTCGCTTACGCTCCAGTCAGTCATATTTCTCAGAAATGGTATAGATCAGGTTCTCAGGATTGACTTCCTTGTTGGAACTAAAGAGCTT